ACCTTCGCCTCCCGGGTCAAGTGATTCTCTTGCCTCAGTCTCCCATATAGCCAGGACTACAGGTGCATGCCACCATGCCAGTCAATTTTTTGTATTTTTAGTAAGACGGGATTTCTAGCCATGTATTGGATTTTTAGTAGAGATGGGGTTTCACCATGTTGGCCAGGCTGGTCTTGAACTCCTGACCTCAGGTGATCCACCCGCCTCGGCCTCCCAATGTGTTGGGACAATGACAGGTGTGAACCACCGTGCCCAGCCTCCAGATTTGAATATCCAATTACTCATCTCCGTGTGTCCAAGACTCAGCTCTTGGTTTCTGCTCTAACTCAGGCTTCTCACGTCAATGAATGGCACTCCCACTCACCTAATGAACCATGCTAAGAAACCAAATCCATCTGCAGTCTTCTCTTTCCTCCATCTCGTCTCCAACACGTCACCAAATCATGATATTCCTGCCTTTGAAATACACCTTCTTTCTGTTTTTTGAGACAGGGACTCGCTGTGTTGCCCAGGCTGGAGTGCAGTGGTGTCATCATAGCTCACTGCGGTCTCAAACTCCTAGGCTCAAGAGATACTCCTGTCTCAGCATCCCAAGTAGCTGGGACTACTGGCATGCACCACTGTGCCTGGCTTATATAGCTTCTCCTTAAGAATGCTTCACTGGCTGGGCGTGGTGGCTTAGACCTGTAATCCCAGCACTTTGGGAGACCAAGGCGGGCAGATTACCTGAGGTCAGGAGTTCGAGACCAGCCTGGCCAGCATGGTGAAACCCTGTCTCTACTGAAAATACAAAAATTAGCCAGGCATGGTGGGACACGCCTGTAATCCCAGCTACTTGGGAGGCTGAGGTAGGAGAATTGCTTGAGCTTGAGAGGCTCAAAAACAACTGGAGGTTGCAGTGAGCCAAGATCACGCCACTGCTCTCCAGCCTGGCCGACAGAGTGAAACTCTGTCTCAAAAAAAAAAAAAAAGTTCAGGCACAGTGGCTCACACCTGTAATCCAAGCACTTTGGGAGGCTGAGGCGGGTGGATTACCTGAGATCAGGAGTTCGAGACCAGCCTGGCCAATATGGTGAAACCCTATCTCTACTAAAAATACAAAAAAATTATCTGGGTGTGGTGGCAGGCACCTGTACTCCCAGCTACTCGGGAGGCTGAGGTAGGAGAATTGCTTGAACCCAGGAGGCTGAGGTTGCAGTGAGCCAAGATCACACCACTGCACTCCAGCCTGGGTGACAGAGCAAGACTCTGTCTCAGGAAAAAAAAAAAGAAAAAGAATTCTTCATGGACTGGGCCCAGTGGCTTATGCCTGTAATCTCAACGCTTTGTGAGGCTGAGGCAGAAGAATTGCTTGAGCTCAGGAGTTAAAGACCAGCCTGGGAAATAGAGTAGAAACTCTGCCTCAGCCAGGCATAGTGGCTCATGCCTGTAATCCCAGCACTATGTGAGGCTGAGGCAGGAGGATTGCTTGAGCCCAGAAGTTCAAGACCTGCTTGGGCAATATAGTAGAAACTCTTGTCTCTACAAAAAAATTTAAAAATTAGCCAGGTGTGGTGGTGTGTATCTGTAGTCCCAGCTACTCAGGAGGTCGACGTGGGAGGACTGCTTGAGCCCAGGAGTTTGAGGCTGCAGTGAGCTGTGATCGCGCCACTGCACTCCAGTCTGGGCAACAGAGTGAGTCCCTGTCTCAAAACAACAGCAACAAAAAACTCCTCATGATTTCTCATCAATCTTCACACTGAAATCGAAACTCTTTCTGAGGGTCTGGAAGACACTTACCTCCTTGCCAACCTTCTCTCTCCCTTCCTCACCGTGCTCTGGTCACACTGAACTTTTTCCATTTTCCTGGCATGCTGAGCCCTTTCCCTCCCCTGGTCTTGCACCTGTGCTTCTCTCTGCCCTCATTCCACCTTCCTCATGTTGCTGTTTGAATCTCATCTTTCATATCTCAGCTTAAAAGCCAGTTGAGAGTGAATTTTTTTTTTTTTTTTTTTTTTTTAGACAGAGTCTCTGTCACTCAGGCTGGAGTACAGTGGCTGCAACCTCCACCCCCAGGTTCAAGCTATTATCCTGCCTCAGCCTCCCGAGTAGCTGGGACTAGAAGCACACACCACCACGCCTGGCTAATTTTTTTAGTAGAGACGGGGTTTGGGGTTTCACTGTATTAGCCAGGATGATCTTGATCTCCTGACCTCTTGATCCGCCCACTTTGGCCTCCCAAAGTGCTGGGATTACATGCGTAAGCCACCGTGCCTGGCCAGAGAGTGAATTTTAAAAAAAAAATTTTTTTTAAATTCACTTTTCATTTTTATTATTTATTTAGACATGGGGTCTTGCTATGCTGCCCAGACTGGACCATTGCTCTTTTTTTCTTTTTTTTTTCTTTTTTTTTTTTTGAGACAGAATTTTGCTTTCGTCACCCAGGCTGGAGTGCAGTGTCACAATCTCAGCTCACTGTGACCTCTGCCTCCTGGGTTCAAGTAATTCTCCTGCCTTAGCCTCCCAAGTAGCTGGGATTACAGGCACCTGCCGCCACACCCAACTAATTTTTGTATTTTTAATAGAAACTGAGTTTCACCATGTTGGTCAGGCTGGTCTCAAACTCCTGACCTCAAGTGATCCGCCCACCTAGGCCTCCCAGAATGTTGGGATAATAGGCATGAGCCCCCGCTCTCAGCCCATTGCTTCTTTTTTCTTTTTTTTTTTTTCTGAGACGGAGTCTCGCTCTGTCGCCCAGGCTAGAGTGCAGTGGCATAATCTCGGTTTACTGCAAGCTCCACCTCCCAGGTTCACACCATTCTCCTGCCTCAGCCTCCCGAGTAACTGGGACTACAGGCACCCGCCGCCACGCCCGGCTAATTTTTTGTATTTTTAGTAAAGACGGGGCTTCACTGTGTTAGCCAGGATGGTCTCGATCTCCTGACCTCGTGATCCAGCCGCATAGGCATCCCAAAGTACTGGGATTACAGGCGTGAGCCACCGCGCCCGGCCAGCCCATTGCTTCTTTAACTGAACTGAACACCAAGGCTGTGTCCTAGCAAAGGAGACTTTCCTGTAGGAATCACATATCTTTCAGCCAAGTAAGCTTCCTGGGGAAATGCCCTCCATAACCAGTCCTCCATCTGGTGACCACAATACAAATCTTTTCTTATTCTAGGCCAGGAAAGAAGACTTGTGGGTTCTTCACACTGGCCCCTGCCCGTCTGCCCTTCTGAAGTAATGTGGAGCCTCAGATAAGTGACAGCAAGACATTGAGCAAGAAGGGGGAGGAATTATATTCACTCTGCAGGGCTCAGATCACACCAGCAAGACATAGGTCAGTCCTGGATCAACCTGAGCTCCAAGAGAAGATGGAATTTCAGAAAGAAATATCACAGAGGGCCGGGTGTGGTGGCTCACGCCCATAATCCTAACACTTTAGGAGGCCGAGGCGGGCAGATTGCTTGGGGCCAGGAATTCGAGACCAGCCTGGGCAACATAGCGAGACCCCTGCCTCTACAAAAAGTACCAAATGAAAAAAAAAAATTAGCCAGGTGTGGTATCATATACCTATAGTCCCAGCTACTTGGGAGGCTGAGGTGGGAGGATCACCTGATCCTGGAAGGCTAAGGCTGCAGTGAACTGTGATCATGCCACTGTACCCCAGCCTGGGTGACAGAGTGAGACCCTGTGAAAGAAAAGCAAAAAAAGAAAAGAGGCCAGGTGCAGAGGCTCTACTAAAAAATACTAAAAAATACAAAAATACAAAAAATTAGCTGGGCGTGGTGGTGGGCGCCTGTGGTCCCAGCTACTCGGGAGGCTGAGGCAGGAAAATGGCGTGAACCTGGGAAGTGGAGCTTGCAGTGAGCTAAGATCATGTGACTACACTCCAGCCTGGGCAACAGAGCGGGACTCTGTCTCAAAAAAAACCCAAAAAGAATAGAAAAGAAAGAGAAGAGAAAAGAAGAGAAGAGGACGGGAGGGGAGGGACAGGGAAGGAAGAGAGGAAGGAAGGAAGGAGAGAAAGAAGGAAGAGAAAGGAAGATCACAGAGGCTGCTCCCAAATGACCCTCTCCTAAATTCCTTCTAAAGGTCTGTTTTATTTAGGTAAGCCCTTGGCACAAGACCAGATATTCAGTAAGTGCTTATTATTCTTTGTGTTTCTAATATGATGTCCTAGGGGAGGTTTTTTGTTTTTTTTTTTTTTTTTTTTTGAGACTGAGTCTCACTCTGTTGCCTACCAGGCTGGAGTGCAATGGCGTGATCTCGGCTCACTGCAACCTCCGCCTCCTGGGTTCAAGCAATTCTCCTGCCTCAGCCCCCTGAGTAGCTGGGATTACAGGCGTGCGCCACCATGCCCAGCTAATTTTTGTATTTTTAGTAGAGACGAGGTTTTGCCACGTTGGCCAGGCTGGTCTCGATCTTCTGACTTCAGGTGATCTGCCCGCCTCGGCCTCCCAAAGTGCTGAGATTACAGGTGTGAGCCACCGCGCTCAGCCGTTTTTGTTTTTTGTTTTTTGTTTCTTGAAATGGAGTCTTCCTCTGCCACCCAGACTGGAGTACAGTGGTGCGATCTTGGCTCACTGCGTCCTCTGCCTCCTGAGTTCAAGAGATTCTTGTGCCTCAGCCTCCTGAGTAGCTGGGATTACAGGCACTCACCACCACACCTGGCCATTTTTTGTATTTTTAGTATAGATGGGGTTTCTCCATGTTGCCCAGGCTGGTCTCAAACTCCTGGGCTCAATTGATCCACCTGCCTCAGCCTCCCAAAGTGCTGGGATTACAGGCGTGATCCGCTGAGCCTGGCCTGATGTCCCAGGGGAATTTCTGTATTCAGCCTCCCGAGCCCTCTCCCAGGGCCTGTCACTCACCCTCAATGACATAGATCTTCTTCTGCAGCTCGGTGAATAGATCTTTCAGCTTCTCAAATGTGTCCAGAATTTTTACAAACTCGCTCGCAGGTTTTGAGGCAAATTTGTGAAGTGTCTCCTGACTCTCCTTGGTCTGAAAATGCTTTCCAATCTGTGAGGGAGAGGAGAGTGAGGAGCTGAAATCCCCCAAACCTCAGTCCAGTTTGCCATTATTTTCACAGGAGTTTGGCCCCAGGAAGAAAGGGGCCTGGGGTTCAGAAAGAGGAGAGGGAAGGCGAGATGTAGGAAGCAGCCGGGACCCTACCCCGATGATGTAGCGGATGATGTCTTTGGCCGCATCGATGTCGCCACTGTCAGTAGCCTCCCCATCCGTGATGATGATGAGCACTTTGGTGGCATCTGGCCGGGCCCCCAGCTCCTCCCGGAACACCTCTGTCCTGTGTCCAGGAAAGGAGGAGGTGAGAGACTCCTCAAAACCAGGGCCTGAGGTCTCCTTCCCCACCTGCTCATCAAGTCACCGCCATACTGGTTACGCAAAAGCCCTTCCTGGATCTCCCAGGCCGGGATTCCAAGCCTGCAGCAGTCACCTCTAAACCTCCTTGCTGCCACCCCTTTCCTTCTGGACCAGGGGTCCTCACATTGCATCCTGGACAGTCCAGAGGGTGTCCCAGAGCCCATGGGCAGGAGGAGGAGGTTTTGTGAGGAATGACTCTGGGCTTCCCACCCTCCATTGCAACCACATGGCCACCACTCTTTAATCAGTTACAGATGTTGATCCAAGTGAGATTTCAATGTGGAAGAGAGGGTCCCACAGCTTAAGAAAATTGGGGAGTCACTCTTCCAGAGCAAACTCTTCCAGCACCTCCTCTGCCTTCCCATAGTACCCAGCCTGCCTCCGGATCTCTACTATAGCAGTGAACCCAATGAATTACCATGACTTCTCTGTCAATTTTCCCCCTAAACCATGAGCTCCTCAAGGAAAGGACCATGTTGGATTTGTTGCTGTATCTCTGGCTCCCAGCACAGAGGAGGTGCTTGTGCATGTGAGATGAAGGAGGGAGAACTACTGTTAGAGCTCTTTTAGATTTTGTCTAGCAGGCTTTCTGTTTTTTGCTAAAATCCTCCACCCTCAAAAAAATTTTAAAAAATAAACAAAGAAGGGAGAACTGAACACCAGATGGGCCAAGGCTAAAGATTTCTGTCCTGGGAGTTCCAGACCAGTCTGGGCAACATAGCGAGACCCCAACTCTACAAAGATGAAAACAATTAGCCAGGCATGGTGGTGTGTGATTGTAGTCCCTACTCAGGAGGCTGAGGCAGGAGGTTCGCTTGAGCCCAGGAGTTTAAGGCTACAGTGAGCTAGGATCACGTCACTGCACTCCAGCCTGGGCAACAGAGTGAGACTTGACTCTAAAAAAAAGAAAAAGAAAATTCCTGTCTTGCCCACAACCTCCCTCTGAGCAAGTTGGGTTGGCCATAGCTCTTGCTGAAACAGCAGCAAGACGCGAACCGTCTTACCCATGAACACCTGCTATCAAGACCTCTGGTTCTATCTGGATGCAAAATGCTTCTCCAATCTCCATCCACACAGACATGGGCCTATTGCGGGTCCTGTTCATGGATTTCCACCCTGGCTTAGACAACCATTGTCTCTATCTGGATTTTTCAATAGCGTCCTAACTGGCCCTATCGCTTCCCCCCACCTTTGCCCCCTCTACAGTCTAATATCAACCCCGCAGCCAGAGAGACCTTTTAAAAAACATAAATCAGATCATCACTCTTCTACTCAAAACCTCTACGGACTTCTCATCTTACTCAGAGGAAAGCCAAAGGCCTCACTATGGCCTCCAAGTCACTAACCCATCCAGACCCTCATGATCTCTCCGACCTCATCACCTACTATTTTCCCCCTCTCACTTATTTCTCTCCAGCCACATTGGTGTCCTGGCTCTTCATTTTTAAATTATTTTTTATTTTTTAGAGATAGGATCTTGCTGTGTTGCCCAGGCTGGAGTGCAATGGTGTGATCATAGCTCACTGCAGCTTCAAACTCCTGGCTCATAGGCCAGGTGTGGTGACTCACACCTGTAGTCCCAGCCTCCGAAGTAGCTGGGACTACAGCACTCAAAGTGCTGTAAATCCCAGCACTTTGGGAGGGCAAGGCAGGTGGATCACCTGAGGTCAAGAGTTTGAGACCAGCCTGGCCAACATGGTAAAAGCCCATCTCTACTAAAAATACAAAAAAAATTAGCCGGGTATGGTGGCACAGGTCTGTAATCCCAGCTACTTGGGAGGCTGAGGCAGGAGAATGGCTTGAACCTGGGAGGCGGAGGTTACAGTGAGCCGAGATCGCGCCACTGCACTACAGCCTGGGCAACAAGAGCAAAACTCCATCTCAAAAAACAAAAACAAAAATCAACCAACCAAACAAAAACTTCTGGGCTCAAGAGATCCTCCCACCCCAGCTTCCCAAAGCACCGGGATTACAGATTGTGCACCTGGCTTAGAGTTTCTCTTTTGGATTTAATTAGTACAGAGTAGATTTCTGTTATGTACAACCAAAAGAACCTGCAGTAAAATTGTTCCACTTTAATTCAGACAATAAACTGCCCCTTGCTGTACCTACCTACTGAGTTCCCGCACCCTGCAGCTGGAAGAGGGTAGATCACCCAGAACCAATGACTGGACACGCGCTCTCCTGCAAAAGGGAACTCACGCGACATAGTTGATGGCACCAAAGGTGTTGGTCAACAGCAACATGTGCTTTACATGCTCCAGCAGAGTATCAGGGTCCTTCTGTTTAACATAATCTGAGAAATCAAATTCCGTTTTGTAGCTTGTGGAAAACTGAACAGCAGCAAACTAGAAAAGGAAGGAAGAAATGATATTCAATTATATATCCCTTTCCATTTGTCTGTTCCAAACTTTTCTTTTCTTTTTTTTTTTTGAGATGGAGTTTCGCTCTTGTTGCTCAGACTAGAGTGCAGTGGCATGATCTTGGCTCACTGCAACCTCTGCCTCCCGGGTTCCAGCGATTTTTGTGCCTCAGCCTCCCAAGTAGCTGTGATTACAGGCACGTGCCACCACATCTGACTATTTTGTGTGTGTGTGTGTGTGTATTCTTAGTAGAGACGGTGTTTCACCATATTGGTCAGGCTGGTCTCGAACTCCTGACCTCAGGTGATCCACCTGCCTCGGCCTCCCAAAGTGTGGGATTACAGGCGTGAGCCACAGTGCCCAGCCCCAAACTCTACTTCTTCTTTTTCAAGACAGGGTCTTGTTCTGTCTCCCAGGCTAGAGTGCAGGGCACAACCATAGCTCACTACAGCCTCAGCCTCCCAGGCTCGAGCCATCCTCCCTCATCAGCCTCCAAAGTAGCTGGGACTACAGGCACATGCCACCACATTGGGCTAGCTTTTATTTTTTGTAGAAATGGGGTCTTGCTATGTTGCCTAGGCTGGTCTCGAACTCCTGGCTTCAAGTGATCCTCCCGGCTAAGCCTCCCAATGTGCTGGGATTACAGGTGTGAGCCACTGTGCCTGGCTCAATGTCTTCTTATGCAGGACCTGGGCAACTCAACTCCACATCCTTGCCTTAGATAATTCTTTTGAAAATGAGGCAATATACAAATAAGCACAGAAATAAAACGAAATAAACCTTGCTCCCTCATGTAATACTGTGTGTTGAGCTCCTATTCTCTGGGTCCACCTATGTCACTGACAGGGATGGGTTCCAGTAGCCATATTTCTGCTGAGTGACCCTGCTTAACTAGACACAGTTGGCTGGGCCAGGGATCAACACCTGACTGAAGCTAGGCCAGCCAGAGCTTCTTCTCTGAGAACTGGGAATTTGCAAAGGGAGGCGTTGGCTGAGGGAAAGGTAAAAAGCCCTCTTGGAACTTTAACATGTGAACTTAGGAGCTTTCCATAGGTCCATGTGGTCTAAAGGTGCGGGAGCCAGTCTACAGAGACTGAGAAAAGAGAATAAGGAAGCAAAGACTCAAAAAGAAACAGAAATGAGAACTAGCTGGGCACAGTGGCTCATGCCTGTAACCCCAGCACTTTGGGAGGCCGAGGCAAGAGGATCTCTTGAGATGTCCAGGAGTTTCAGATCAGTCTGGGCAACACAATGATAAACCATCTCTACAGAAAATTTAAAAATTAGCCACGCATGGGCCAGGCGCAGTGGTTCATGCCTGTAATCCCAGCACTTTGGGAGGCCGAGGCGGGCGGATCACGAGGTCAGGAGATCGAGACCATCCTGGCTAACACGGTGGAACTCCGTCTCTACTAAAAATACAAAAAATTAGACGGGCATGGTGGTGGGCGCCTGTAGTCCCAGCTACTCCAGAGGCTGAGGCAGGAAAATGGCGTGAACCTGGGAGGCGGAGCTTGCAGTGAGCCAAGATCGCGCCACTGCACTCCAGCCTGGGCGACAGAACGAGACTCCGTCTCAAAAAAATAAATAAAAAATAAAAATAAATAAAAAATAAAAATTAGTCACGCACAGTGGTGCACACGGGTAGTCCCAGCTGCTTGGGAGGATCATTTGAGCACAGGAGTTTGAGGCTACAGTGAGCTATGATCGTGTCACTGCATTCCAGCCTTGGGGACACAGTGAGACCCTGTCTCAAAAAGAAAAAAAGGCCGTGCACGGTGACTCACGCCTGTAATCCCACACTTTGGGAGGTCAAGGTGGGTGGATCACAAGGTCAGGAGTTTGAGACCAGCCTGGCCAACATGGTGAAACCCCATCTCTACTAAAAATACAAAAATCAGCTGGGTATAGTGGTAGGTGCCTGTAATCCCAGCTACTTGGGAGGCTGAGGCAGGAGACTCGCTTGAACCGGGGAGGCGGAGGTTTCAGTGAGTTGAGATCGTGCCATTGCACTCCAGTCTGGGCAACAAGAGTGAAACTCCATCTCAAGAAAAAAAAAAAAAAAAAGGAAATGAGAACTAGAGAGACTCCTAGAAGCCTTCAACTCCCTGGTTCTTATCCCTTCCAGAGGCCCAGTTATAGCCATGCCCATAGGCTCTGAGGATACCACATACTAAAATTTCCTTTCATGGTTTAAGCCATTCTTGGTTGCCTGCAACCAAGAATCCTAACTAGCATTTTTACCTGGTAGGAAGTGTTGCTGAGTTTCTTCATCACATCCTTCATGAAGTCCAGAATTTTCTGAAATTCATCTGGCTGCAAGCTCATCGAACCATCAAACAGAAATACCAGGTCTACGTTGCCCTTGATACATTCTGCAGAGGCCAGACGCAAGGGACCCAATGAAGCATCTCTGGTGTTTGACCGCCCATGCTGGTTCTCCCTAGGGGCAGCCACTGGGAGGTATTTTTATCCACTGAGTCCCCAGTTCCTTACCCTGAAAACCAGGGCGCCCCTGCAGCATGGCACCCTGCAGATTCTGGTGGAAGAGGTAACACAGGCCACTCAGATAGGTGTTCTGGTCACACGTTCGAGACAGCCCAGGGTCACAGGCCTAAAGGAAGCAAAGGCCAAAGATTTGGGTCTCCTATTTGCTATGTGTCTTCTGGGCACCATCAACCAAGAATAAGAACGTTCAGAGTCCTTTCTCACTTCCTCTATCCAACTGGTTACCAAGGCAAGGAATGTGCACCTCCACAGTCTCTAGTGTCCATCCCTCCCATCCTACCAATGCTCTATGCCAATGGATCCTCACCGCCTGTAGGATAAAGTCTGGACTCCTTAGCTGGGCTTACATTGGGCACGACCCCACATTTCCAGGCCTATCTTCTCCTGGTCTCAATCTCTCTTTCTGTGTTCCAGCCGAATCAAATTATCAAGATTCCCAGAATAAAAGGTGTCTCTTTCTTTCTTTTTCCCTTCCCTTTCCTTCCCCCTCCCCTCATTTATTTATTTGTTTGTTTGTTTATTTATTTATTTCTTCTTTCTCTTTTTCTTTTCTTTCTTTTTCTCTCTCTCTTTCTTTCTCCGTCTTTTTTTTTTTTTTTTTTTTGACAGAGTCTTGCTCTGTCACCCAGTCTGGAGTGCAGTGGCGTGATCTTGCTCACTGCAACCTCTGCTTCCCAGGTTCAAGCGATTCTCCTGCCTCAGGTTCCTCACTAGCTGGAACTACAGGTGCCCACCACCATGCCCAGTTAATTTTTGTATTTTTAGTAAAGACAGGGTTTCACCATATTGGCCAGGATGGTCTCAAACTCCTGACCTTGTGTCTGTCCACCTCGGCCTCCCAAAGTGCTGGGATTACAGGAGTGAGCCACTGCACCCGGCCTTTTCTTTCTTTCTTTCCTTCCTTCCTTCCCTCCTCTTTCTTTTTCTTCTTTCTTCCTTCCCTTTTCTTTCCTTCCTCTCTCTCTCTCTCTCTCCTCCTCTCCCCTCCCTCCCTCCCTTTTTCCCTCCCTCCCTCCCTCCTTTCTTTCTTTCCTTGCTTTCTTTCTTCTTGGGTCTCACTCTCATCACCCAGGCCGGAGTGCAGTGGCACAATCATGGCTCACTGCAGCCTCAACTTCCTGGGCTCAGGTGATCCTCCCACCTCAGCCTCCCAAATAACTGGCACTACAGGCACACGCCACCATGCCCAGCTAATTTTTTTGTAGAACTGGAGTTTTCCATGTTGCCCAGGCCAGTCTTAAACTCCTAGGCTCAAGCGATCCACCTGCCTCGGCCTCCCAAAGTCATTTCTTTCATTTATGACCCTTTCCTGCCAGATTACAATTTCTTCAAAGTCTGGGCTCGTATCATGGTCATCTTTTTGTTTTGTTTTGCTTTTGTTTTTTTTAGACACAGGTCTCACTCTGTCTCCCTGGCTAGAGTGTAATGGTGTGATCATAGCTCACTGTAGCCTTTAACTCCTGGCCTCAACTGATCCTCCCGAGTAGCTGGGACTACACACGTGTGCCACCATGCCCAGCTAATGAAAAAAACATTTTTTTTTTTTTTTTTTTGTAGGGACAGGGTTGACCAGGCTAGTCTTGAACTCCTGGCCTCAATCAATCATCCAGTTTTGGCTTCCCAAAGTGCTGGGGTTACGGGTATAAGCCACCGGCCTGGCCTCATCAACTTTGTATTTCACTCCCCTTCCCCTGTCAGAACCTAGCCTGATGCCTGGCATATAATAGTAGCTAAATAAACAAGTTCTACTTAAACACTGGATCAGTATTTCATTCAGTTTTCTATCTCTCACACAGAAAGATGCTGGCTGGAAACAGCAATGAACTTGGGATCAAATGAGAATTTTATTCAAATCCTGACTTTACCACTTTACAACCACGTGACCTTGGTCAAGTCTCTTAATCCTTTGGTCCTGTTTCCTCGTGTGTGAAATGTGTACACTGATCCCTATCTCATCTGAGTGTCCTGCGGGGTTAAAAGAAATAAAGTGACAAGGTGTAGTAGCTCATGCCTGTAATCCCAGCACTGTGGGAGGCCGAGGCGGGCATATCACCTGAGGTCAGGAGTTCGAGACCAGCCTGACCAACATGGTGAAATTCCATCTCTACTAAAAATACAAAAATTAGCCGGGTATGGTGGCATACGCCTGTAATCCCAGCTACTCTGGAGGCTGAGGCAGGAGAATCATTTGAACTCGGGAGGCAGAATTTCCAGTGAACTGAGATCATGCCACTGCAATCCAGCCGGGGTGACAAGAGTGAAACTCTGTCTCAAAAAAAAAAAAAAAAAAAAAAGCAGTGTTTCCTAAACTTTAGGCATTTGTGTAATACTTCACAATATCTGCCATATGAGCATACTTTTATTTTCTTAATAGTTTCCTTTAAATTTTTGTTTAACTTCAGCCTTCCTAAGCAATATGATGTAGGAAATTATAAATTTGATGTGCTTGTCATAGATTTTTTTCTAATAAGCCACTAAAGAAATTTATAACCATGAAAACATTAAAAGCTTGTATACCACTAAAAATCATATTGCATATCAATGATCACAGATATTTCATATCTGGAAGAAAAATGAGGTAAGTTCTTGAAAATAGCTGGCTCTGCTGGGTGTGGTGACTCACACCTGTAATCCCAACACTTTGGGAAGCAGGAGGATTCTTCAGCTCAAGACCAGTCTGGGCAACATGGTGACACTCTCTCTCTACAAAAAATATAAAAATTAGCTGGGCGTGGTAGCATGCACCTATAGTCCCAGCTAATTGGGAGGCTGAGGCGGGAGGATTACTGGAGCACAGGGAGGTTGAGGCTACAGTGAGGCTGTGATCACGCCACTGCACTCCAGCCTGGGCAATAGAATAATAGAATGAGACCTTGTCTCAAAAACAAAAAAGCTGGCTCATCATTGGTTCTCAATAAACACTAATTGACTCTGATGCCTTTGACTGTCTGTGGGAACTTTTGTCCACATTCTTCCTCTTTTCTTCTCTCATTACTTGGATCGAGCTTCACAGGCTCTGATAACACCACTGTACAAAATTCTTACCAAAACGCTTCCATCTGTGGGATCTGTTGCCAAGGTCATTCCCAAGTACTTGGAGGTATAGTTGGAACCTGTAGGCACCAGAAAGTTGGTCTGGAGGAGCTCAGGCAATCTAGGTGGGCTGGGGCCAGCCTCAGATTCCCCAAGATCCCATTCCTCCCAGCTCACCCCCCAGTTACTCACCTCTCAGGCTGACTGGCAGGCAGTGTCCTGTGCCTGACTGGCATTGATAGAGGCTTCCCGTGCTGTTCCCCTCCCCTGGAGCTCCCACGATGACCCTGGGGAGAAATCTCACCTGTGAGAGGGAGTGGCCCAGATCTGTACCCACCTCCTCCTGCCTGCTCAGGAGGTTCAGATCTCCCGCCTCATCTCTCCAAGCACTGCAACCATTCCCCTTCAAGAAGGTGCCTCTGGCCGGGCGGGGTGGCTCATGCCTGTAACTTTGGCATGAGGCCAAGGTACTTTGGGAGGCCGACATGGGCAGATCACCTGAGGTCAGGAATTTGAGACTAGCCTGGCCAATATGGTGAAACCCCGTCTCTACTAAAAATACAAAAATTAGCCCGGCATAGTGGCGCATGCCTGTAATCCCAGCTATTCAGGAGGCTGAGGCAGGAGAATGGCTTGAACCTGGGAGGCAGAGATTGCAGTGAGCCGAGATCTAACCGTTGCACTACAGCCTGGGTAACAAGAGCAAAACTCCGTGTCAAACAGAAAAAAAAAAAAAAAAAGGAAGGTGCCTCCATCCTCACCTCTTCCCTACAGAATCCCAGAGAAATAATTCCAAATGCCAAAATCCTAGAAAATTAAGGTTCCTTTGCATTTACAGTCTTTGAGGCCCAGAGAATGATCCGCCAGAATGTCTCATGACAGGTTCATTCATTCAGTGCTTGATTCAAAAGCCATTCATGGCTTACCTACTGTGTGCTGGGCGGTGGTATATCTAAGAAGGGTTAGTAAGAGAGAACAAACTCCTGGCTTCCAGGCGCTCGCAGGGAAGTAAGGGAGTGTCAGGAACCTACTGGGCAATGCGAAGTGTTTGGGGGCTGGGATCCTTCCCTGTTCTGCACTTCCATGGCCTCCCTGATCGCCTGTGTCCCGCTTTTTGATCCCTCACTCCTATCTCTGAGGATTCCCACCCACCACAGGCTCCTCCAGACGGGAACCTCTGGAGAGCCGCCCCTTGGGGGCTGCCCCAGGGCGGGCATCAGGAGGAGGACTTGCGGGGCACAGCTCACCCGTTTCCGACCTGCAGGACGCGGTATCCAAAGTGCCTCCCGGCGCGCGGTGGGGAGAAGCTCCGCGCGCCCCGCACGTCCAGGTTGTAGCTCGAGGCCGGAGCTGAGGAAGGCAAGGGGCGTCAGCTGCGACCCAGGGACCCCCGCCCTGCACGTGCCCGGCAGGTGGCCTATCCCAGGCCCACCTGGCTCTCGCTCCCCAGGCCGCCCGCACCCATGCGGACAGAGCGGACCCGCGCCCTGCGCTTCCCCTCCAGGGCGTTGACTTTGGGGAATATGGAAGCAGCAACTCCCGGCCCCTCTAGAGCTCTGAAAGCTCTTCCCAGGGCCTGAGAACACAACTTCCCGTTTGGCCTCTCTGCAAAGAAGGAAGGATGAGAAGTTAGAGGCTCCAGAGAGAGGAGCAGACCCAAGGGGCCCCAAGGCAGAGGGTGGCCAAGTTCCCAGGCAGAGGCCAAGATGGGGATGCCCCAGGGCCGGGTGCGCCTCTGCCACCCACTTCTGCGGTCATGGGGCCCAGGCGCCGCCTCCCACAGTCTCAGATTGTAGCTCCCCTGATCCCTGGGGGGCTGCCTTCCCACCCCACAGGGCCAGTCTTTTGGAGTGCGGGTAGATCCCAACCCCCTTCCCCCTCAGTCGGCCTGCCCAGGCGCCCTGGCACACCCAGGCTGTCCTTTCCGCCCTGCTTTCTCTCCCGCCGTGGAGTTTAGTTCAGAGCATCCTAGAATGTCATGGAGGCCAGGCCTTCATTTGTTTAGATGAAGAGTGTGGGGCTGGAAAGGGGAAAGGACTTGCCTAAAACGCACAGAGGTGGTACCACGGGTGGCCCCAGAACCCAGCACCCTCCTCCCAGCTTTAGCTACTCATTAACTATCTGCCTTTTGTTTGTTTGTTGTTTAAGAGACAGGGTCTTGCTCTGTCATCCAGGCTAGAGTGCATTGGCACAAGCTTGGCTCACTGCAACCTCCGCCTCCTGGAATCAAATGATTCTCATGCCTCAGCCTCCCAAGTAGCTGGGATTACAGGCCTGTACCACCACGCCCAGCTAATTTTACTGTATTTTTAGTAGAGATGAGGTTTTTGCCATGTTGGCCAGTCTGGTCTCAAATTCCTGGCCTCAAGTAATCTGCCCACCTTAGCCTCCTAAAGTGCCGGGATTACAGGCGTGAGCCACAGCACCCGGCCCCATCTGCTTTTTTAAAGAACCCACTGCCCCTTCTTATGTTCCCTTCTCTATCTTTGCCTCCACCCCTTGCCTATTTATTTCTTTTCTTTCCCCATTCCCCACTTTCTCCTTCCAAGATCCCTGGGTCCCGTATCCCTAAGGCCAATTCCACTTTTAGGGGGCAGCTCCTTGTTTACTCCAGCTCCACCAAGCTCTGCAGTTTCTCTGGTCACAGACACATGTCCCTTCCCCTGCCTCCTCCCTTGCCTACCGAAGAAAAAGAACCCAGACAGCAGCGCCATGGTCATCACGGTGATGCAGGAATCCTTCATCCTTCCAGCACTCAAGGGACCTGTGTCCCCAGGGGCAGCGTCAGGAGGCCCGTGGGATTTGCTGGCAACCTAGACAGGGTGAAAGAGGAAAATGATCATGCCCTTTGGCCTCTTACAATGGTACTTTCTCACAGAGGCACTAGGCTGGTGACACTGGCAGGCGGGGAGGGAGGCGTGCCTGAAGGAGTTGTGAAACCGCAAAGGTTCAGGGAGGAAGTGTAAGCAAGTTAGAGACATTTCCTGTGCCTGCTTGCATTTTCACATCATCCAAAAGCTGACAGCATAGCAGGGAGATGACTGTCTCCACTGCTGACATGGTTTCTCACGAACATCCCACCTAAGGGCTCTGTAAAGCTCAGCAGAGGACTGGTCCAATAAATGGTGGCAAAATTACAATGGAATGCTATGCAGCAGTGAAAAAGAATGAGGGAAGGAAAATAAAACAGGGGGAGAAAGATGTACATGAACCACTATTAAAGAAAAGAACGGATTACAGAACAGTGTATTTAGTGACCCATTTTGGTTCTAAAATGCAAAATCTAAAGAATTGGAGGCTAGGTTCAGTGGCTCACTGGCTGTAATCCCAGCACTGTGGGACTTCAGGAGGTGGAGCTAAGAGGATCGCCTGAAGCCAGGAATCAAGACCAGCCTGGGCAACGAAGTGAAACTTTGTCTTTAAAAAAAAAAAAAATTGGAGAAAATATTTGCAAATCATATATCTAATAAGGGATTTGTCTCCAGAATATATTTTTAAAAACTCTTAGAATTCAACAATAAAAAGACAAATAACCACTTTTTGTTTTGTTTTGTTTTAAATTTTTTGAGACAAGGTCTTGCTCTGTCACCCAAGTGAGAGTGCAGTGGCGCGATCACAGCTCACTGCAACTTTGAACTCCCAGAGTCAAGCAATCCTCCCACCTCTGCTCCTAAGTAGCTGGAACCACAGGTGCATGCCACCATGCCTGGCTAATTTTTCTTTTTTGAGACGGTTTCTCACTATGTTGCCCAGGCTGATCTTGAACTCCTATGCTCAAGTAATCCTCCTGCCTCAGCCTCTCAAAGTGCTGGGATTACAGGTATGAGCCACTGTGCCCAGTTTATTTTTATTTATTTATTTTAGGCTAGTGAAGTGAAGCAGAGGCAGTGCAGAAGGAACAAAGATATTAGTAACTGGTTGTGCTCAATTAGTTTTAAATGGATGGGTGCGGTGGCTCACACCTCTAATCCCAGCCCTGTGGGAGCCCGAGCCAGGTGGATCACCTGAGGTCAGGAGTTCGAGACCAGCCTGGCCAACATGGTGAAACCCCCGTCTCTACTAAAATTACAAAAATTAGCCAGGCGTGGTGGCACATGCCTGTAATTCCAGCTACTTGAGAGGCTGAGGCAGGAGAATTGCTTGAACCCAGGAGATGGAGGTTGTAGTGAGCCAAGATCTCACCGTTGCATTCCAGCCTGGGCGACAGAGTGAGACTCTGTCTCAAAAAAAAAAAAATTAGTTTTAAACACGACTGCACTCAGACCAACCTACCTAAGTTTCTAAATGAGCAAAGGGGTTGAGTAGACATTTCTCCAATGACATATAAATGGCCAACATGCACATGAAATGATACTCAACATTATTAGTCATTAGAGAAATGCAAATCAAAACCACAATGAGATACCCTTTACACCTACTTGGATGGTTAGAGTTTAAAACAAAGGAAATAAGAGTTAGTGAAGATGTGAAGAAATTGGAGGCCTGGTACACATTGCTGGAAGAAATGTAAAATGGTGTGGATGCTGTGCAAAACACTTTGATGGTTCTTTTTTTTTTTTTTTTTTTGAGAGAGGCTTGCCTAGGCTGGAGTGCAGTAGTGTGGTCTCGGCTCTCTGCAGCCTCAACCTTACTGGCTCGAGTGATTCTCCCACCTCAGCCTCTTGAGTAGCTGGAACTACAGATGCAGGCCACCACACTTGACTAATTTTTTATTTTTTGTAGACATGGGGGTCTCTCTACCTTGCCCAGGCTGGTCTTGAATTTCTGAGCTCAAATGATTTGCCTGCCTCAGCCTCCCGAAGTGTTGGGATTGCACCTAGCCCAACGGTTCTTTAAAAAAGTTAAACATAGGCCGGGCATGGTGGCTCATCCCTGTAATCCCAGCTGAGGTGGCTGAGGTGACAACTCCTGAGTTCAGGAGTTTGAGACCAGCCTGGGCAACATGGAAAAACCCCGTCTTTACTAAAAGTACAAATCTTATCCAGGTGTGGCGGTGCGTCCTGTAGTCCCAGCTACTCGCGAGGCTGAGGCGGGAGAATTGCTTGAACCTGGGAGGCAGAGGTTGCAGTGAGCTGAGATCACACCACTGTACTCCAGCCTGGGAAACAGAGTGAGACACCATCTCAGGAAACAAAAACAGAAAGTTAAACATAGAGTTACTATATGACCCAGAAGTTCTCCTCCTAGGTATATACCCCAAAAGAACTGAAATCATATGTTCCTACAAAAACTTATACATGTATGCTCATAGCAGTATCAATAATGACTCATACTAGCCCCAAACTGGAAACAACCCACATGTCTATCAACTGACAAATGGATGAACAAAATAGGGCATAGCCATGCAATGTAATATTATTTGCCTCTAAAAAAGAATCAGGCCGGGCTCAGTGATTCATGCCTGTAGTCCCAGCACTTTGGGAGACCAAGGCAGGTAAATCAGCTGAGGTCAGGAGTTCGAGACCAGCCTGGCCGACATGGTGAAACCCCGTCTCTATTAAAAATACAAAAATTAGCCAGGGGTGGTGGCACGGCCTGTAGTCCCAGCTACTTGGGAGGCTGAGGCCGGAGAATCGCTTGAACCTGGAGGCAGAGGTTGCCATGAGTGGCGATCACACCACTGCACTCCTGCCTGGGTGATGGAGTGAGACTCCATCTCAAAAAAAACCAAAAAATAGAGTACTGGTACATACTACTATATGAGTAAGCCTTGAAAATATTTAGTGAAAGAAGGCAGCAAAGAAAAATCACATAAGGTCTGACTCCAGTAAGTGAAATATCCAGAACAGGCAAATACAGAGAGACAGAAAGCAGGCTGGTGCTTGCCGTGAAAATGGAGGCTAGGGAGTGAGTACTAATGGGCATAGGGTTTCATTTTAGGTGATGAAATGTTCTGGAAATAGACTGTGGTAATGATTGCACAATTTCGTGAATCTATTTAAAAACCACTGAATTCTATACTTTTTTTTTTTTTAATTTTTGATACAGGATCTTGTTTTGTCACCCAGGCTGGAGTGCAGTGGTGCAATCACGGCTCACTGCAGCCTCGACTTTCCTGGCTCAAGCAATCCTCCCACCTCAGCCTCCCAAGTAGCTGGAACTACAGGTGTGTGCCACCACACCCAACTAACTTTTGTATTTTTTGTAGAGACAGGATTTCACTATGTTGTCTAGGCTGGTCTCAAACTCCTGGGCTCAATTGATCCGCTCTCCTTAGCCTCCCAAAGTGCTGGGATTAGAGCCACTGTGCCTGGTGAATTGTATACTTTAGAATGGTGAGTTTTATGGTATGTGAATTGTATCTCAATAAAAAATAAACATGAAATTATATATGTATGTACATATTTGTTAAATTGGAAAGGATATACAACCATACTTTAAACAGTGGTTAGCTCTGCAGAATGAAGTTTATACATTTCTATATGGTCTGCATATTTTTTTACAATGAGGACGTATAACTTTACCATTTAAAAAAATTAGCTAGGCGTGGTGGCTCACACCTGTAATCCCAGCACTTTGGGAGACCGAGGCGGGCGGAACCCCTGAGGTCGGGAGTTCGAGACCAGCCTGACCAACATGGAGAAACCCTGTCTCTACTAAAAATACAAAATTAGCCGGGCGTGGTGGCGCGTGCCTGTAATCCCAGTTACTCGGGAGGCTGAGGCAGGAGAATCACTTGAACCCAGGAGGTGGAGGTTGCAGGGAGCCCAGAGTGCACCATTGCACTCCAGTCTGGGCAATAGGAGCGAAACTCTGTCTTGGAAAAAAAAAAAATTAAACTACCTTTAAAAAGCATAAAAATATTAGCCAGGCATGGTGGCTTACACCTGTAATTGCAGCCCTTTGGGAAGCCAAGGTGGGAGGATTGCTTGAGCTCAGGAGTTTGAGACCAGCCTGGGCAATTTAGCAAGACCTTGTGTCTACTAAAAATAAAAATAAAAAATTAGCCAAGCGTGCTGGTGTATGCCTGTAGTCCTAGCTACTTGGGAAACTGACGTGGGAGGATCACTTGAGCCCAGGTGGTAGAGGCTGCAGTGAGCTGTGATCAGACCACTGCACTGCAGCCTGGGTGACAGAGCAATACCCTATCTTTATACACAAACAAGCAAACAAACCAAAACATAAAAATATTTAAAACACAACAGAGTAAGGAACTGTATTCGTTTATAAGAAATTGGGAAGGATCTTCAGATTCTCCCTGTGCTGTGAAGAAATCCTGTTCAACCTGCAAAGACGTCATTGCCCTGAGGAAGCCTTTTTCAGGCAGATTATCTATTATCTGTACTGCCAGGTGGTTGGAACGGAACAAGCTGGCTTGTGGTAATTAGAAGGTATTAGATAGTCTTTTGAAAATTCAGTTAAGATCAGATAATTCAGGCTGATTTCTTTGATTCTCTGTAGAGCAGTTCCAACCAAATTATTTTGTTTTGTTCTGAAATTACAAAAAGAATATACATTTTTAAATTCAAGCACTATGGAATGTGTAAAGAAGAATAAGTATTGTCTTAATGTCCACTCTCCATCCCTAAACCCCAGGAGGAATCATTGTTAACAATTGAAGCCATATATTTTTCATGAATTAAGAAAAACTTAGGCCGGGCACTGTGGCTCAAGCCTGTAATCCCAACACTTTTGGACGCTGAGGTGGGCAGGTCGCCTGAGGTCAGGAGTTCAAGACCAGCCTGGCCAACATGGTGAAACCTCGTCTCTACTAAAAATGCAAAAATTAGCCGGGCATTGTGGCGCGCGCCTATAATCCCAGCTACTCAGGAGGCTGAGACAGGAGAATCACATGAACCTTGGAGGCGCAGATTGCAGTGAGCCGAGATCAAGCCACTGCACTGTAGCCCGCGCAACAGAGCGAGATTCTGTCTCAAAAAAAAAAGAAAGAAAGAAAAAGAAAAGAAAAAAATTAAGTTGTTA